CGTGGCAGCGATTACTTCCTCATTCGACTCAAATTTCTGCCCGGCGAGTGATTTTTTCAAGTTTGGAAACAAAAAGAATTCGCACGGGGCTACATCTGGAGAATACGGTGGATGGGGCAGCAGTTCGTAGCCTAATTCAACCAATTTGGCCATGGCAACGGCGGAGGTGTGAGCCAGTGCGTTGTCATGGTGGAAGAGCACTTTTTTCTTCGCCAAATGGGGCAGTTTTTTCTGTAATTCGATGTCGAATCGGCCCAATAATTTGGCATAGTATAGCCCTGTGACCGTTTTGCCCCTCTCCAGGTAGTCGATGTAGATCACACCTTGTGAATCCCAGAAAACGGTGGCCATCACCTTTTCGGCCGATAGGGCAGTCTTCGCCTTCTTCGGAGCACTTTCGCCGGGTAAAGTCCACTATTTCGACTGTTCCTTGGTCTCTGGTGTACTTATACCAGTGGATCCATGTTTCGTCGACTGTCACGAAACGACGCAGAAACTCCTTCGGATTGCACTTAAACAGCGTCAGACATTACTCTGAAGTTGTCTCACGGTTGTTCTTGTTGTCCGGAGTGAGCAAACGCGACACTCATCGCGCCGACAGCTTTCTCATGCCCAAAATTTCATGCAGGACATGACCCACGCGGACTTTTGAGATGCCTACGATCTTAGCTATCTCGCGCACCTTCAATCGTCGATCTGCCAATACGAGATCGTGAATTTTTGTCACGTTATCCTCCGTGGTAGCCGTTTTCGGAGGATCTGGACGTGGTTCTTCAAAAATTGATGTACGACCACGTTGAAACTCGTTAAATCAATTTTTGACGGTCGCCATCGAAGGAGAAGAGTCATCGTACACAGCATCCAAGCGCTTTTTGATTTCGCTGCGCGATTTCCCTTCCAAAAACAAGAATCGAATCACCGACCGATACTGCTCATTTTCCATTTTTCAAAAATCAACGGACACACTTGCTTTCACACGCTCTCAAAAATAAACTACAACTCCGATCCGGTTGAAATCTTGACAGTAACCATCGAGAAGGTTGTACTACGCGATAGAATATTTCTTTTGCGAGATTGGCGCCATCCGGCGGTGAGACTAAGTACTTATCGGACCACCCTCGTAGTGTTCAAAATTATAAGGCACCCCTGATTTCGCTTTATATTATTTAGGATTTTTAAGCTTTTGACAGCCTTGGAGGTCTTAATTTTCTAGTAGTCATTCGCAATATTTTTTTAATCAAAATTTGTGTTTTTCTAAACAAAAAAAACGTCAATTCGATGTAGATTTGATCCACTACAAAATTTTTATGAAGATTTGAATTTAAAAAGTAATATTTTTTGAAACAATGAAATACCGTCGATTTCGTAGCACTTAAAACACTTTACAAATGTTGTATCGGTATATAACAGCATGATTCTTTTTTCCTCATATTTTTTCAACTTTCAGATTCAACCAATTAAAATTTTAAATGGCTATGGATAAAATTGTTCTAACCACATAAAAATAACGACTTATTTTCATACTTGAAAATCGCTAATTTTATTTCATTTAAGGCCAATTTTTTTCAAATACCCCAGTCATTTTTTAATTTACTGCACACAAATTGTAGGAAAATACATTTTTTATTCGTTTTAAATCAATTGGTTTTGAAACAAAATATTATAGATACTTAAAAATTTTCTTTATGATTTATAGAGGTTAGTACAGGTTTGGAAGCCGCGACACGATACTTCAAATTCTTTTCAAACAAACGCCTGTTAACTATTTGTCTGGATATTTTAACCTTCAATTCTATATCTAATTAACTTTTAATACTATTTGCTGTTATAGTAAGATTTTGTTTGGCTTTTTGAATGATAATTCTATCAATTCGAGAAATTGTTGCGAGCGGTCTTTCTGTATTTTTCTTATTTCTCACCATCTTACTTTTATGATAAGCAATAATAGTATTTTGTACACAACATCTACTTACCTTCAATAATTTAGATATTTTAATCTGGTTTTTATGTGCTTTGAACAAACCAATAATTTGCCATTTTTTGTTTCGGGCACTGCTTTTCTCCCCATAATTATTTTTTGAGTAAAACCTATATAATAGGATAAATGAGGCGCAAATAATAGGATCAATGATTTTATTCGTCTAAGCTTACATTCGCAATAACTACTATATTGGCGAAAGGTCAGCGCGAATAACTTAATCACTGATTTTAATTCGTCTGATCCTAACACTCACGTTCGATTCTACGAAATGGCGGAAAGGTCAGGGCGAATCAATAGGCACCGGCATCGATGGATCCACGCGTCGCGACGACCTACTGCACCGAAAAATCCACTCCCGCACTCCGCGATTATTACTAATGAGTGGCACTTTGCCTACTTACGGTTTTCCTGCTGAGATTCGGCGAACGAAATTAGCGTGAAAAAAGGTGTTAGTGCAATTAATCTTGCGTAACGAGAAGTCTGTTGGAGCAATCACTCCTTCTGGCTAGAAGAACAGCGGCAAAATGGACGAGAATCGGCTTTTCGCTGTCAAAGATCGCTTTTCTTCTCCTCTTTCCGAGAAGAAATATTATTATTAGTCGGTATGCTAATTCGGATATCGGTAGCGCCCTCTGAATATTTCATCATTGGTCCATAAGTAAATTAGACGGATACAGCGCCCTCCTTGATTCTCCTACTTTCGTCGTTATTTACCCTCTCACCCCCCACTAAGTTAGTTAGAATTAATTGATGGGAAAGATCTACCCCTACTCTTATCTATTTTTCTATGCGGACGGAAATTTAGAAATCACCAGCGAATTTCGTCAGAAGTTCGAATTCTGTCGGTTAATTTATCGATTAAATTTATTGGAGTAATTGTCGCTTGCTATTATAATAAAGTGTGTGCAGTCGCTTGCGAATTTTCATAATTCGGTATTTCTTTCATATTCATTTTTAATTATAATTTTAGATAGTTGTGATTAAATATATAATGTAAGTCATCTCAATTGTAGCGCCTCCATCTTCGCATTTACATATAATTCTATTCATCATTTCATATAATCTGTCTCGCTCGCTCTTGTTTAGTCTATTTCGCTCGCTCTGTCTCGCTCGCTCGCTCTCAGTCGGTCTCACTCGCTCATGCTCAGTTTATCTCGGCGCTTTAAAATGGCCGCTCGCTCTCTCGCGCGTACACCTCGTGTTCCCGTAACGGTCTTTGGAGCACCTCCTGGGGCACTCCCGTGTCGGACAGGTGACGTGTTCTCGTGTGTTTGTGCGTGGTCCTCGTTGTGAGTGTGCGTGGCGCTCAGGATGTCGCCGATGGTGTTCGGCAGCCCGACACAACTGATTGCCGGCTGCCAGTTCATCGGCGATTTTCTGCTCGCCCCAGATGTTTCAGTCGGCAACACGTGGTCGTGAGTGAGTGTGTGCGTGCGCTCTCTTATTCCATGGTTACGCTCCTTTTTTTTTTGATTGTCCGTTGGATCGCGTTGGTCGAGCTTGTTTCGCCAATATCTCCGGTTTTGGTGTTCGGGCATAAAAAAGGGTAATTGCTTCTTATAGGGCGCGTTTGTTTTCATTTTATACAACTGGTTACGGGGCGGAAAGGGACGGGAATGGCTTTCCTGAGGTGTTGCAAATAATGCAACGCTCAGGAAAAGCCTTGTAATGTACCGCATTACACACGTTTCATGCCCAAACATCGGAAAGAATATCATGGCATGAGCAAACCGATATGCTAACATATTTTACGACATCTTTGATGGTAGTTCGACGATTTTTTAATACAATTTCTTTCATTATTTCAACATCTGTTGTTGATGAGCTGGGACATCCAGGGCAAGGTTCGTCTTCGACATCCACTCGGCCTTCTTGGAATAGCTTATATCACTTATACACATTTTTCTTAGTCAGAGTAGACTCACCGTATACATTTACGTATTAACATTTCAAGAGCTGTAGAGCACTGGATTCGATTTTTCACACAAAATTTCATGTAAACTCTTTGCTCCATTCTTTTCGATAGAAGAAAATCGCCGAGCATACCCAACACTTCAAATCTCTGACGCCTCTGCCAGAAAAACAACATGTGCTATATAGTCAAAACTATGAATATATGATCGTAGCGAGTGTACCAATACAACAACAACAAAAATTTTGAAATTGAATGTACTTAACCCGCGAAAATTGAAAAGTCACCTTACTTTTTGAACACCCCTTGTACAATATGAGTCGTGGCCTCTGTTCGTTTATCGTACCTTTAAATTGCACTTTTATTAAAGTAGCACCAAATATTGTTCTGCATATAAAATATTATGATTTTTTTAATGGCGTAGATTATTTTACCGTTCGTTAAACCGCTTGTAAAATATAAGCAGAAAGAACTTTCAAACGTTATTTTCGCATACAATCCGTGAATATAAAATGTTGTATATTTCAGAATTAATTTTTTCGACCTCAGTTTATCTAATATCCGAAATGAGTCTACTTCTGTGATAAATATTATATCAGATCTATTTTGACTAGATTGAAAATCAAAGATTCTATCTAAATATCTACTGCACTTATACGATACTGTAACATATATCAAAATCGCCATGTGATTCTCTCAGCCAAACAGATCACAAATATAATGATTTCACTTCTGAGACCATAACTTTTCCTAAATAATATAATGAAAGAAAAATTAAGTTATTTTATTTTTTATTGAATGATTAGAAGATAATTGTAGTATTAAACAATTTGCTTCATTTGATCTGATGCAATATTTGGGTTTGCATTTTCTGATTTCAGATAGCTTTTCGATTTAAATCTCATTTAATTAGCTTGAGTCATTTAGAATATAAAAATCTACCAGCTGATGTTTTTCTTCTTTATTTAATCAGAAAAAAGAATTTCATTAAGACACTCAATATTGATATGCCAGTAGATGCAGCGCTTTCCTTTTTATATTTTAATCAATGATCACCGTAGATCATATTCGATATAAATGATCTTTAACTCTACTGTAATTTTCCAGATTATTTGATGTTGGAGGGCAGAGAAGTGAGCGCAAGAAATGGATTCATTGTTTCGAGGATGTAACAGCTATTATATTTTGTGTTGCAATGTCTGAATACGATCAAGTTTTGCATGAAGATGAAACAACGGTTTGTAAACACCATTCCTAAATTAGTAAAAATTATCTGCAATTAATCAATTAATTTTAATTATTACTCAATGATTTATTTTAGAAATAGAATAAAATAATCCGATGCGGTTTCTTTTTTTCTCTCCTATAATATAAAAAAAGTTATTCATCAAACTGATGATTTTACATTAAGTAATGATCAATATATATGACGCTATTGTATATTGCACATACAAAAAATAAAATGCGAAAGAATCATCGACAAATAATACAATTAAATAATTAGCATTAACCAAAACAGACTATTTTAAATATAATATATAAAAAATGAAACATCACATTCTTATTTAAATGAATTATTATTAGTCAAACTTTCATAAAATTTAATATAATAATTTGATAATATATTATAATTTATATTCGGTGAATCCGGAGACCTTATACAAACAATGATTGAAATAATATTAAATCTTCTCATATTTATCATATATTTCTAAAATATGACAAATATAGTTTGACCGATTATCACAACATCATCAGTTCAATGAAAATCAGTTGTACATTTATATTAATAAACATATATACATATATACTAATATCGATAAACATATGTACAATATATAGTATAATTATGCCTATATATCTGTCTCTTTCTGCGGTCTAATCAAGATCGCTATTGAACTATTGAATATACATGTTTATATTACTTTTATAATTTTTTTGTCACAGATTTATTACAGCAGAGGCGAAGGTATGCGCGGAAGTGCGACAGAGAGCTAGCTAGTTAGCTACGACACAGGAAGAACGCGCGAGCTTCTTCAGTTTTTCAGCAACAAGCGCGACGTTAGTAGAAGAGAAGGAAGGGAAAACTATTATGCACGTTGTTAGGAGTAATCTAGATCACGCACTTTAGCCGAGAATTAAACGCTATTTGTCTCTCCGGTTGCCAATCGATATTCCGATGTTTTAGTTACGAAGAATCCTAAAGTGGAACATCTGTATCAAGAGCACTATAATTCATGCAAAGAAGTAATTGTTTCTTGCAGTCACGCAATGTACAGGTAGCATACATCGAGTGAGCAGGCAAAATCTCTACTTTCTCTTCGATAGTCTTCATCCCTGACAACTTGGGTTGATTTTATTACCGCTCAGAAGAAGGAGTAGGAAGTATACTTTTTTTTGACTAGTGGTGCTATGCGCCTATAGCATACGTACACCAAGATGCAGTATTACTTGAAATGGAGCGCTATTTGATATCATATTTATATTCCACCTTTCTAGATACCAACATTTGATTTTGTTGATATTGTAGTAAAATTATACACCCTGATCTTTGCTGTAGTCTCCTAGATTTTCACGAAACAAGTCGATATAAGAATGTAGAAATGTAATTTTAATTCAAATCCGTCGTCTAAATTACTCTATCCCATTAGAATATTATTATTCTTAGATATTATTATTGCTATTGCGACTATTTTTCCTATTTTTGGGCTTAAATAACTTCGCAAGTATAATTTTATTAAAAATCCGGAAAAACCACTAAAAAAAGCAACTTTTAAACTTTCAATTTTACTACTCTAAATTGTCAGCCCTATCTATGGTAAATTTGAGGTTATAGTTTTCAGTCTAACAGATAAGCTCTACGGGTAAATCATTACTTTTATAAAACATCCTTTGTTTGTAATAAATTAATTTTAATAATAACCGAAATGTTAAATAATGTAATTGTTCTTTCATGTAATGGCCATAAGAAAAATTCAATTTTTTCACATTTCAATCGTCGATATTTCAAAGTAAAATAATGCAAATCATAATTTCAGTATGAAGAAATTAGTATAGAATATCTTGAAATCCAAATGTAATAGAGAAATTTTGACACTGGATTCGAATCCAGCGTACCAAAACCCTTTGAGAACAGATATTCTCGTTTATAGATGTGAAATAAATAGAAAATGTATTGATCTATGTAATTTTGCATCGAGTAACATAATAATTCTTCTCAGTTTTTATTAAAATAGAACTATAACTCCCTATTATCTTTTTACTCTATCTTGGGTCTGTAATCAGACAGCTTCTTTTTCATGATTTGAAGCATTTGCGTCTAAGATGAAAGGTAACATCCGAACCACCACTTAAGAAAAGGCAAAGATGGGTGCAATTATTTAATTCAATTTTGTATTGAATGAGATGATATTTCTTAACAATATTATTATCTTGTAAAATATTCTTAAAGTCGATTAAAAGCTAATCAAAAATCTCTTTTTATGAAGAATCTAAATTCTAAGATTTATCTTCGAAAAAATTTTTCAATAAAACCACTAACCTGCTTTGAAATTCTGCAAAATCTCTATTGTTTAGTATTACAATCGACTGTACCTGGATTTTACACAATTTTATTTATTGATTCTATAATTCCAATATCTTCAAAGAATCATATACAAGTCTCATCGTCAGCAATATATGCAACAAAAACAATCATGGAAACTGAGTTTTTTTGCAATCTGTATTATACTTTAAGACAATAAGCGTCCAGCACTGGGTGACGTCTAGAAATATGTCGGTACAATGTTGCTTTCCCTCGATAAATTTTTTTTCAGCAGCTAATATTTTGTTTACTTGTTCTATCGTAGACTGATTGTATCTAAGACTGAATTATTGATCTGAGATAAATTTTCTATTTATGATTGGATTGATTTTGATCATTTTAATAGAAATAATAGAATTTACTGGTAAAAGATTAGTCGGTCTGTATAACGTCACCATTTTAGTTTCTTTACCGGATTTGGGAATTAATATAATCTCTACCACTTTTCATTGAACGGAAAAATAGGATAGATGAAGACATGCATTAATTTGCAATAACAATTGCTATTAATGCATGTCTTCGTCTATCTTATAACCTTATTGGTATTGTAGATAGATTTTCAATCATTATTTCTATGATGTTATCAACACTGGATGCGTTTTGTTATTAATATGTCTGATTAATTGTAATATTTACTTTATTGTAACTCTTTCAATTGGTATGTTATTGTAGATATTATGATTTTCCCGTAAGATATCTTTTTTTTATTTTGTGATGATTCTTTGCTGAAGTTTGAATATTTGATATGGATAATTTACAAATGCATCAGTTTTCTACTTATCGGATCTAACCAATTTACCACAGGATATTTTGATGGGTGGAATAAATGTAGTTGATTTTTCGTAACTTTACATAGTGAACATTCCGTTGCTTCTACGGAACTCAATGCTCCTAGAAATTTTGCATTTGTATGCTTTATTTTTATACGATATTTTCTTCAAATCTTTAGATGCTTTATTTAATTTAATTATACCTTCACTCGATCTGGATGTGTAATACCATCGTTTAAGTTATTTCTTTTCTTTAATTTTGTTTCAGCTGGTACTAGTCTACTTTGAATTAGAACTAGAGCTAATAAGCCCTTAAAAATTATTTATACAGATGTTATGGGTCCTATTAAACCACAAACTTACCCAAGTAGAAAACGATATATTATAGTATTTATCGATGACTTTTCGAGATTTGCCAAAGCTTATGCAATTAAAAATAGATCTGAAGCAGGCGAATGTTTAGAAGATTTTTTAATAACAATTAAAAATTTGCTAGGGAAAAATGTAAAAGCCTGTTATATTAGAGCTGACAATGCAAAAGAATTCGTCGGAGGTAAATTTCTAGAAGTTATGAAAAATGAAAATATTGAATCTGATTTTTCCAATCCTTATAGTCCACCGCACAATGGTACGGCGGAGAGGTTCAATAGAACCCTAATACAAAAAATTAGATCACTGATACTAGACTCTGGTTTGCCAAAGAATCTTTGGAATCTAGCTCTGGAGGTAGCAATAAATTTGTACAATAGAACAACACATTCGTCTGTAGATTTCAAAACTCCCTTGAATACATTGTTCCCTAATAGTAAGTGTCACATAGACAAAATTAGAAGATTTGGTAGTATAGCCTATGCGAGAAAACCCTTAGCAGAAAACAAATTGTCAGAAAGAGCCATTAAAACTATATTAGTAGGACAGTCGTCAAATGGTTATATCCTTTGGCATCCTCAGACAGGGAAAATAATTCATTCAAAGCATGTAAAAATTCGAGAAAAATTGACTTATAAAAATATAGACAAAAATCATGAATTGTTTAGAGTCGTTAATGTAGAAGATGAACTAGATGATGAAAATATAGAAAATAATATCATAAACTTATTTGATAATAACTCTGAGTCTGAAATTTTAGAAAAACCAAGTGAAGCTATTAACGATAATATTGTAGAGTCAAATAAAATTAGAGCCAAAAATAAGAAAAGAAAACTAAACAATATGTTAGCACAAAGTGAAATTGAAATTCATGTGAGAAAACAGCCTAAAAGAAGTGCTAAAAAGCCTAAAGATTATAAAGCTATATCTGAAGGGAAAGTCAATATTGTAGATACTAGCTATGCATTCTTAACTGATTTTCTAAATATAGATGAAATTGATAAAGATGAAAAGAATTCTATTTTATTAGCAGCAACTAACTTAGATTCTATAAGTTATCTAGAGGCCCTGAATATAAAAGAAAAGTTAGAATGGCAAAAAGCAGTTAAAAATGAACTAAACTCCATAAATGAAAATAAAGTTTGGAGCTTGGTAGATATACCATATATAATGCCAAATGGCAGAAGAGCAAATATAATAGATAGCAGATGGGTCTTTAAACGTAAAATGAACTCTGAAGGTAAACTGATTTTTAAAGCTAGTCTTGTAGTCAGAGGTTTCAAAGATAAAAATGATTATCAACTTAGCGAAACCTATGCTCCTGTTTCTCGACTTCTCGTAATTAGAGCTACTCTTGCTATAATAAATAAATTGGACTTAGAAGTTTATCAATTAGATGTTAAAACTGCTTTCTTGTATGGTAAGTTAGAAAAAACAGTTTATATGGAAATCCCTGGTGGACTAGAGGTAGATAAAAAGACTAGAAAGACTAAAGTTTGCGAATTACACAAATCT